AGTGTCACTGGCCCTCATATGTGGGATCCGAACCGGGGCCCTCTGGCATCCCAAGCGAGTTCTTAACCGTCGCGCCACTCGGCCGGCCCACGACTTAAATTATTTTTATTACTTAAATGTGTGCCAACCATGTGCAAACACAGCTAATTTAAGCAGTTATAAACTTAAGCAGTTATAAAACCAAAACAAAGTAGCAATAAATACAAACAAAAGTAGAAAGGCAATTTAAACCAATAGTCATTTGACGTGACGAACAGTTGTTTTTCTAAAACGTTTTGCTGCTGGCAACATGCACACGTATGGCCTAATGCAGGTTCTTTTGAAATTGACACAATATTCCACTGTGTGCCTGGTGATGACTCAATTTTCCCCCTATTTGTCTATTCAGATTACTAAGAAATCTTTGTCAGTACTTGTCCACTGGACTTCACTTGGTACAAATGCAACCCAGACAATTGAAGAAGTTCTAACTTGACTGTAAGAAGGTAACACGACCGAGTGCAGGCACACGCATGCAGGGCTGAGATCAGTTATGTGTGGTCCAGAGCACGCTCATGATGCTTTTGAAAAACTACCAATGAAATGAAAATATGGAATTTAATAATTTTCACAGGGCGCTCATGGCTCTTAAGGAGTCCAGGGAGCTCAGTTTGAGATACACTATCCTAGCACTGACCTTGACCTCCAGTGTGACCTGGGGTCAATCTTTTGCCATTGTTGGATCTGTGTACATTCTTCATACACAAACAAAAATGATTTGGGCCACCACTACTCTTGGGAGATGAAGTTAGAGGATCTTCAAGGACTAAAAGGAAGGGATAGAATTTATCATAGACCCCTAGAGTTAGGAAAATAATGACGGCTAAGACCCTCCAATCTAGCTTTGGCTTTGGAGTCAAAAGGACTCAGATTTTAATCCTAGGTCTCCAGTTGCTGTGCATGTGTCTGTGGGCTGATTACTTGACCTCTTTAATTCTCAGTTTCTGCCCCTGTAAAAGTGGGCATATTTTAAAATGCCACTTCACAGAATTGTGGTGAGGGCCAAATGAGGCGACTGGGGAAAGTGCTAAGGGCAGAGCCTGGCAGCTAGCAATCCAGTAATCAGCAGCCGTCATCAGGAAGAGGCCAAGCCAAGGGCTGCTGAGAATAAATACCACAGGCATTTGGCAAAGGACAATAGAAAAGAGAAAGTGAAGATTCTAAGATTCTGTCTGTAAATTACAACATTTCTGATATATAACTATCAGGATATTTCACCCTAATGAGCCCTGCGGCTACCTAAGCTTCCACTCAGCCTTTCTTATTCCCCCCTTCATCCTCCCACCAGCAGCTGGCTCTTCCCCTCTTCCACCACAGACCTGCATCGCTTTCCCTCCAGGCTTTCGTTTCCTTCCTCAGTAGTGTTGGTCACCTGTGCAGCAAGCGCCCTCCAGTGTCTTTCCTGTTCATTGCAAGGACCATGCGGTCCACAAAACACTGATGGAAGGCAGGATTTGCCAGGAAGGGCAGGTCTCAGGAGACTGCTTTGTCTCCCCGCCTCCTAGGGAAGAGTAAGGAGGAGGGTCTAGGAGAAGTCCTGGGTGAGAAGCAGCAACTTGCCATCGATCTTTTTATGAGGAGTCCTCTCCCATCCATCTCAGAGGCCCCTAAAGAGACAACTGAATGATAGGTGAAAATACCAGGAAAACACCTAGCATGCGCACTGCTTTCCTGGAGTAGCTCCCCGTTTCCTCACAGCATTCCTGGCTGAGGGGCTGGGGGAGGCACCAGGCAGATGTGAACAGGATTAAGATGGATTAACTCCTCCCCGCTCAGCTGCTGCTCTGCTTTTGTGCACCAACACTGCTGCCAGAAACCACTTTGAAAATAACACAAATCTAGTTACACCATTTCCCAGCGCAAACCCCAAGGCCCTTCCTCCTCACCTTCAGAATAAGCTGAACTACTTATGAGATCACCTCACCTCACCTTTCTGGGTTTCCTCACCTGGACAGACCCTGTCTTCCGGTCCGCTGCATGTTCACATAACCACGCTCAGGCCTCCTTGCTATTGTTCCCTCCCATCCCCATTTGGTACTCTGCATCCTCTCCCCTCTGGTGCTGTGAGAGGCAGCAGTACTCGCTCCCTCCCTCCCTCCCTGCCCCCTCCAAGCCCAATCAGTTATCTTTGGCTTTGGGGATCCTATTTTCCAAACCAAGAATTGGAGTACATTGTCTGACAAGGACATTTATACTTCAGAGGGGACAGGTCAGAGTATGTTGAAAATTGGGGCTGTTGTTGAAAACTGAAGGTGATTTCTGGTCCGCAGGTACTTCCCGTGGCCACTGGTACAATTGGGGGCAACCAACTAAGAAACTGGTATTTTGGTTCTCCCCAGGGTGCAAAATCCCGAGGGAAGGAAGTGAATTGTGAGGGACCCAGGAGGTCCTTAAAGGACCACCACCAGTCAGTTCTAATCTCTCTGCTCCCACCTCATGGCTGTCTGTCCCTCTTGCCTGGACCCTCCCCCTCAGCAGGCGTCTTAAGCCTTCAGCCAAAGCCAGCCAGCACAGCTTTCCCCCCTAGCTGCCTTCCTTCATCTCTCTTTGTCCGGGGGCTCTTTGTCTGCGGTCTCCCTTTGGTTCAGTTTCCCAGTCCTCGGCCTCCCCTCCTTTTCTCCCTGGCTAGGCTGCTCCCTCCCTCTCTGCGGGGGCTGGGAGGCTCGGCTAGGGGATCCGGGCTGGGTTGCCATGGTCACATTGAAGCCGGGGCAGCTGGCCCGGGCAGCTGCTCCCGGCCTGAAGAGCGGACAAAGCCAGGCGGCCTTGGCAGCTTCAGGCTTGGAACCCCAAAGGCCTGAGACTGGGGGCCTGCCACCAGGATTGAGCTGGAGGTGAGAAGCAGGAAGCCAGCGCTGAACTGTGAAGGTAGGTGTGGGGACTTAACTGGGCCCTCCCCTCGAGGGAGGGACCAGGCGGTCCAGGCGGTAGGTGTGGTGGGAGGGACCAGGCGGTCCAGGCGGTAGGTGTGAAACGGAGAAGAGAGTTTCAGACTGTGGGCTGAGGGACTAGGATGTCCCTAAGGGGAGGTCTGCGGCCTCCGTGTCCTGTTGCCCAGAAATAGGTTTGATTCCATCTTTTACCTCCGGCCCCCCCTGGTCTGTCCCACAGTTGCCCCGTCCTTTCTTAGCTACTTTTATCTCCCCACGTCCCTGTGTTTTAACCCCTGTGCCCCAGTCTTCCTCCTCTTCTCCCATCTTTCGGTTTCACGCCAAACCTTTCTTCTCTTCTTTGTCCTTGTTTCTTGTACCCTTGGTCTGTCTGCTCACTGCTCAGGGATCCTCACCTTCCTGCGCTCATCTCCAAGTGTCCCCACTTTTTCCCCTGCCTGGGTCTAGCACCTTTCTCCCCAGACCTCGGGTTCCCCACCTTCTGCTGGGCGGTGTGCCCTTTACCTTTCCTCTCTCTGACTCCCGTCTCCCCTCATCCTTGGCCTCATTGTATCTCCTGCCTCTCTGAGTCCCATCGCCACTGTCCCGTCTCTCTCCATGCCCCAGGCCATCCACAGCTGAGCTCAGTGGCATCTTCCTCCTCCTTCCACTTGTGGGCCTCGGTTTCCCATTTGTACCCAGGCCTGACTCATGCCCAGGGCCTTGTCTGCCCCCTCATGCTGCCCACCACCAGCCAGTTCTCACACTCCCCAGCTGCTGACCCAGCTTGCTTGTGCCAGAGGAGCCCTGGAGTACCTCCAGGAAAGGGGGCTGCAGCTCGTGGGGGGCCCATCAGGTCCATCCTCCCTCTCACTGGTCCTGCCGGGCTTCCTTGCCATGGCCGGGTGGTCTGTAGGCCCGAAGCTACTCTCTCCTGTGTGCCTTTCCTCACTTTTTTCCCCCCAGCGGTTTTCCCTCCTCTCTTTCCTGGGCAGCAGGAGGCCATTGATTTGAAGGGGAGGGAAGCCTGGATGGGAGGGCATATATGGGGGAGGGGAAGAGTCCTTTGGGGGCTCAGGAGGACAAAGGGCCTCTGGAGCTGGGAGTGATGCAGGAGATGTGGGGGGGGCTCTGGATAGGTGGGTGGATGCTCGGTTTTGGTCCCGCTCTGGGGCCCAGGGATGATTGGGATTTCCCTCACTGGCCCCTGGGAATCTCGGCTCGGAGCCCCGCATTCCAGCCGGCTCCAGCCCCCTTTCCACTGTCACTTGACTCCGCTGGGCCCCAGCCCTGCATCCCTGCCACTCCTCCAGCCCTGGGCTGGGGTGAGGTGGGCATCACCGATTAGGAATTTCTCCTGGTGGCACTAGGGGGTAAGGGTTTCAGGATTTTACGGTTAACTCTACTATTTGTAATGGACGCCTCTGTCTGGCACAGCCATGCCACCTGGCCCGGTCAGCGTGGGCCTGGGGTGTGGAATGTCCCACTGGAGTGTAAGAGCTGCCCAGGTGAGGTTACTAGGGACACCCTGGCCCCACCCCCAGCATGACTCCACCCTCCGCCCAGCCTCTCCCGGCCCAGATACCCCAGCGACCATACTGTCTCCAGAGGGGTAGGTGCTCTGGGGGACCCGGAGGTTTGGTCAGAGGGGGAAGATGGGAAGAGGCAATTTTCCGAGTGGCCCTGGCTGTCTGTTAGTGAGTCCCTTAGCAGGTGGGGCACGCTTGGATCTGTTGTCGTCCCGTGGGTTGGCGCTCGTGCCCGTCTGTGCCTTGGCTCTCCCAAGGACCAGCCTCTTCCTGGTAATCTTTTGTGTACTTGTCTGGTTGGGACTTTCTGTTTCTTTCTTGGGACTGGTGTCTGGGACTGCACATAAGGTGAGTTTATATCTGCAGTGAGGCGCAGTGGGGTGGAGATCTACAATGAAGACTTTACTGTGCTGGTGACATTATGTAGGGGGTCTGCAAGTGTGGGGTTTGGAGAGGTGGGGCCGGGTAGTGCTGAGTGGAGTGAGCACCTCCCAGCCCAGCTCTCTGTCCTGCCCACCTCGCTCAGCAGCTCACTGTCGGTTGAATTTGTTTACCCAGTCTCCTCGTGTCTGATTTTCTCTTTGCCTCCATCCCCGTCCTCCCACCACTCACCTTGTTCCGGTCTATTCTTACCATTGGTCAGACCCTCCAACCCCCACCAGGGCTGGAGCTGGCTGGGCCTGAGGGAGACCTGCCCCGAGGAGGACGCCTGGGCCTTGCGCAGGGAGCCCAGGGCATCAGGGCCTGGGAGCCTGGACCCCAGTAGAGTTGCGGGGAGGAAATGGAAGGTGGAAGTAGAGAGAGGACGGGGCTCGCTAGTAGAGAGGAGCAGGCCAGTCCGGCTCTGGGGCAATGCAGGTGGGGGTGTAAAGCACCAGAGGCCCAGAGGGTGCCCGAGAGAAGCCAAGATTGGTATGAAAAGTGGGTTTGGAGCGGGTAGGGGGCTTGTTGGACAGGTGAATCCTGCTCCCTTCCCCCATCCAAACTCCTGCTGCTGGGCCGGGCCCGAGCCTGTGGGAACCTGCTCCTTCCCGGTGCCCTGGGGCTGCTCCCCTTCACCTCCCTCTCCAGGAACTGAGCCCAGAAACGGGGGAGTAGGGAGGGGGCCATTCCCTCACACGGCCTGGGCGTGTGGGAGGCCCTAAGCGGGGCTGCAACCGGCCACCGAGGCCTCAGCTTGGCGGTTCTCTCTTGCGGGAAACCTGGGAGGGTGGAGGGTGGAGGGAGCTGCGGACGCCGCACCGCGGGAGGGCACCGAAGGGGTTTACCAGGGAGGCTGGGCTGAGGGATGTGGGTGGGCGGGGTGCGGCGGGGCGGAGAGGAGCGCAGGCTGGTGGGCGGTGCCAGGCGTGGGAGCGGTGGGGCCGCGGGGCCACAGAGCGGAGAGGGGCGGGGAGGGCCGCGGCGCGAGCACCGCGAGCAGGGGGAGCGGGCAGGGAGGAGGAAGGGGGGGCAGGCGAGGGAGGCGGCGCCTGGGCCAGAGACGCCTAGCTCTGGCTCCTCTCCCCGGAACAGGCCCCCAACAGCTGCTCTGGGAGCCGCCGCCGACACCCGAGCCCCGCCGGCGCCTCCGCTCCCGTTCCCGGCTCTCCCCGCCTCCCCTCCCCTCGTTGGGACGCCGCCATCGAGGCCCCACTCCGGAGCCGGACGCCTGGGTCCTTGGGTAGAGCGATGAGAGGTAGGAAGAGCGGCGGAGGACCCTGCGGGGCGGAGGGGCGAGCGCGGCGGCCGGAGGGCGGGGGCCCGACCGGGGAGGGAGGACGTTCCCGGCCGCACTTGGTTGTCCAGCCGCTCAAGTCTGTCCCTGTCCGCTTCCCCAGTGCTCTGGCTTACTGTCTGCAAACACAGGAACCCCCTGACTTCGGGAAAGTGTGTTCCAACATTGAGGAAGGACCTCCCTTACCCAGTATAGAAGACAGGTGCTCTTATGTGGACCCACTGAATCATCTCCTCCTTCTTGGGAGAAGCGGACTCGCCCTCCCACCTGGCCAGTCCCTGCGGCCTCCACCCAGCCAGCTCCCAGTTGGGCAACCTGGCCAAAGCCCAGCAGAGAGGGACTGGCAGCCTAACCTGCCAGTGGCAGCCAGCCACTCATCCACACTGGATGGTCAGTTGGTTCTGCCCCCAGATAATGATCACCACCTTCAGTGTCCTTTCCCCCACTCCCTTTCCCCAGCCTTCACCCCACAGGTCCCCTGCTGGCTGGACATCCCTTTTCAGCACCTCCACCACCAGCCAGAGTCTGGTGCTCAGACTCACTGTTGCTGAGGTCATGTAGGTGTGTCTAGACTTGAGTGGTAGAGTGGAGACAGGTGAAAGCAGAATGTAGGGGTTGGCTCATCCTTATTGCCACGCCAGCCTCCGAGTTCCCACCCCGACTTTTCTGGCTTGCCGTGTGTATTAGGTGATGGGCCCCAGTTCTATGGGGATCCTGCCCTCTAGGGCCAGAGTGTGTGTGTGTCTTCCACTGTCTTCTGATTGCAGGAGCACGTGGTGTCTGTCATTTCATGTTCACAGGTGTCTGAAGATGGCTCTTCACTAAGTGATGGGCTTGGACTTTAAAGAAGACCAACGTGTGGATGGAGCCGATGTGTGTGTGAGCGTCTGTGTTTGCCCGGCTGGGTGGGAGTCTACATGTGTAACGGGTTCATGTGGATGTCACATATGTCTGTTACTGAAAGCCTGTGACAGGTTGTCTGTGAGAAACAGAGGTGTGTGTGCTGCAACTAGCCTGTGTTCACAGCAGGCTCCGTAAATCCGGGTGTCTGACCATGTGTGTCTATGTGTGTGCTCGTTCTTGTGTATATACAGAGGTGTGTGGGTGTTGTTATCTGGAGTGGGCTGGGGGTTGGGAGAAGAGGTGAAGGACCTGCCGTGGTGTCTGGCAGTAATGGGCAGGGTGGGGTGGGATTGGGGTAGGTCTTCTGGGCCTGTCCTCTGCCTGACTGGAGAGAATGGAGGGATGGGGGTGTCAGAGGATTGCCCCAGGCTGCTGTGCGTTTCTCTGCTGGGCTCTGTGCGCTGTGCTTTGGAGCCTGCTCTATTTACCTTTTGCTTTGTGTTTCTCGCCCTGCCTCCCCCTGCCTCCTATCCTCTGCCTGTCTTTGTATCTCTGCCCAGGCTCCTCTTGCTCTGTCTGGCTCGGATGACTCATCTGGGATAGGCATGAAGGTTACTCAGGGGAACAAGGGCCCTGCTGTTCCTGACAGTGGTGGGGGTGGAGAGTGGCACCCAAGAATTCCAGGCCCCTGTGAGCGGCTCCTGGACCCCCAAGGGACCAGGCATGATGCCTCTGGTTCTAGCTCTCCTTTGATACCAGGGTGCCCCCCGCAACTCAGTCAGCCCCCTCAGCTGCTGCTTCAGACCTGTGGGGTCTCAGCTGCCTCTTACATTCCTGCCCTAGAGCATTGTGGGAGCAGCTGGAGGAGGACAAAGGGATGGGGGAGTATCCCCCACTCCTACCTCCTGGGGTGACCTGACTTCCCTGTCTTTAGACCCACCCTCATCTCCAAGGCAACTCAGCCTTTTCCTCAGCTTTGGGCTCTTCCTTTACAGGCAGTTCCCTTCAGAAAGTGGGAACTGGGGGGATAGGTTGTCTGGTCTTAGGAAGGAAAGGCAGGGCAGGGAGATTTGGGGTATGAGGGGCGGAGCTAGGGGTCCCTCAGAATTCCAGGGCCTGGAAGAGAGGACAGGTCAGGATGCTTTTCCAGCACTGGGCTGGGGACGGTAGTACCACAGTTCATAAGGAAGTGTCAGTTGGAAAGGTTTTAAGTTGGGGGGGAAAGCTGCTTGGTCCCCAGTGAGGAAGAACAGGGGTTCTCAAATACTTGTGTGCACAGATCACTGGGGGATTGTATTAAAATACAGATTCTGTCTCGGTAGGTCTCGGGTGGGGCCTGAGATCCTAAATTTCTCCCAAGCTCCCAGGTGCTGCCTAGGTGGCTGGTAGAGGGACCAGACTGGGCCTAGCAAGGCTACAGAGGACTGTGAGATTGGAAGGATTTGGGGTCCCCCACTTGTCTTTGAATTCTGGGCTCCTAGGTGGGCAGGGGACCAGCGTTTAGCCCAGTGTCTGGCACATGGGAAACGTTCTAAAAATATAGCTGATGCTGTCAAACAACGCCTGTTGTAATTTTATGCTATTATCCTCAAAGTTGCCCATTCTGTCTCTCTGTCTACTGTTGCTGGCAGTGACCTGGTCTCCCTGATTGCCCTTTAAATTACCCCCCTACCCATTTTGTCCCCTACAGAGATGCTGTTCCCACCCCCCTAGGCCCGAGGGATCAGGAACTATGGGGCTAGGGGCCCTGTCATCTCCGCTACTGCTGCTGTTCCTGGTGGCAACTGGAGATGCTGATATGAAGGGACATTTTGACCCTGGTAAGGAGACTGGCTTCTGGGTCCCTGAGGGCTGGGGCTTGGGAGACAGAAAGTCAGGGGCCTTGACCCTCTGTGTGCCTGTATTCACCCAGCCAAGTGCCGCTATGCCCTGGGCATGCAGGACCGGACCATCCCAGATGGGGACATCTCTGCTTCCAGCTCCTGGTCAGATTCCACTGCTGCTCGCCACAGCAGGTATCTGGCACAGTGGGGCTGCCCTGGAGGGAACTCCTGGGGCCCCTACTCGCTCTCCCAACCCCTCTGCCCAAGCTGAGAGGCTTCTGAGAGGGCCACTGCCAAGGAAACCCGCCAAGGAAACCCCCACAGTCCTGGTGCGGGCGGGGAGCTCTAAATACTAGAGCTAGAGGTAGACCCAGGGCCAGATGTTCCCCATGACCTCCTGCCCCCTCCTAGGCTGGAGAGCAGCGACGGGGATGGGGCATGGTGCCCCGCAGGGCCGGTCTTCCCCAAGGAGGAGGAGTACCTGCAGGTGGACCTGCGGCGGCTTCACCTGGTGGCTCTGGTGGGCACCCAGGGGCGGCATGCTGGGGGCCTGGGCAAGGAGTTCTCCCCCAGTTACCGGCTGCGGTACTCCCGGGATGGCCACCGCTGGATGGACTGGAGGGACCGCTGGGGTCAGGAGGTGAGGCTAAGAGGGACAACACCTGGGAAGAGAGGCTCTTCTGTCCTCTAGCTGCACTTTAAATGTCACCTATCCACTGACGGTTCTCCAGTTCATACCCTCTCCCGCCCAAGCCTCTCTCCCTGAGCTTCATGTAGTGATACACACCTGACCAGCTTTTGGGCCTTTCCATATAGATGTCTTGAACTTACCATTAACTTCCCAAGCTGAACTTGAGTCATATTTTCATTCCAAGCCTGTTCCACCTCCAGTGTTCTCCGGCTCAGGAAATGGTCCCACCATGTGCCCAGTTGTTCGGGGCCGTGAGCTAAGATGATGGCTCTGACTTATCTTGTTCTCTCACCTCCTACTTCCAGGGCCTGAGCAAGCCCAGTCTGTTAACCTCCACGATGTGTCCTGAATCCAACCACTTCCCACCACCCCCAACACTCCCTGCTTAGATGAAGGCCGGCTGTGGTCTCCACACTGTTCCCCCTGCTTCTGCCCTTTCTTGCCTGAAGTAGGGTCTTGCCCTAGAGGCTACATCCAGTATACCTTAGAAAACGTGAGATAAGTGCCGCACAGCCAGCTCCCAGCCCTCACTGGCTCCCCACTCTGCCATAATGAAAGCTGAGCTCCTTCCTGAGTCTGAAGCTGGACCTGCTGGCCCCTCGCCTCATCCTTTCCTCCTGCCTCCTGTTCTTGCCCCACCAGGGCCACACTGGTTTTCTTGCTGTTCCCGGGACAAGCTAGGGGTCACCCCACGGCTGCAGAACATTTTCACTTGCTGTTTTCTGTGCCTGGAAAGCCCCCATGTCCACAGTCTCTCCTTCACTCCATTTAGTCCTCCTCCCAGATGGCATTTCCTCAGAGAGCCTTTTCTGACACTACCCTGCTGCTCTGGTCCACATCCGGCCTCTTGTTCTTCACAGCTGCTTCTCCTGGGGAACTTGCTTATAGGGAAGTGCTGGTGCTCACCACCGAGAATGTGCCTAGGGGCACAGAGGGCGCTGGATCAATGCCTGTGGAGTGAACAGGGGGCAGGGGAAGCCCGAAGCTGGGGTTCAGAGCAGTGAAGACGGGGTGGAATCCAGCACAGTGGGATGAGTGGCTTTGAGACAAATGGATGGAGCCAGGCAAGAAGTTGAAGAGCTGACACTGGAATGGAGAACAGACCGTTGGGCTGAGAGAGGTGCCAGAGGTCTCTGCTGCAGCCCCTCCTTTTACAAACACCCGGCAGCCCCGCAGCCCTTGTGCTTGGGGCCCCCTTTCATGGGTCTCTGTGTGGCTGTCATGGGCTGGGCCAGGGTGCAGCTGGTGAAGAAGAAGTTAAATCTGACCTGGAGCCTTTCCCACCCATCTGCCCTGTTTCCTGGCCCACAGGTGATCTTAGGTAATGAGGACCCTGGGGGAGTGGTACTGAAGGACCTTGGGCCACCCATGGTCGCCCGACTGGTTCGCTTCTACCCCCGGGCTGACCGGGTCATGAGTGTCTGTCTGCGGGTGGAGCTCTATGGCTGCCTCTGGAAGGGTGAGTTGTTCAGGGTTCTTGCCCCTGAGAATGTGTTTCCTGTCCTGGGGAGAGGGACATCCAGGATCCTCTTTCTCCTGTCGGGAAGCTGTTACTGAGTGAGGAGGGGACTGGCCAGCATTGTGTCCTCCATGCCAGTGTGTCTGTGGGGGCTGGTACGAGAAAGGGGACTGGTGCAGGGGTGGGGGACAGAGGCTGCATGTCTCTTACACCCCTCCTCCCACCCTGTCCTAGATGGACTCCTGTCTTACACGGCTCCCGTGGGGCAGACGATGTACTTAGCTGAGGCTGTGCACCTCAATGACTCCACCTACGATGGACACACCACGCATACCGTTGGCGGGTGAAAGAAGCAGGCTTTGCAGGACACAGAGCCTGGAATGGGAGGGAGGACCAAGTGGGTGGGGTAGGGGTGGTAGGTCTGGGCTGTGAGATGAAAGAATGGGGAGGGGACGGGTTAGATGGGGCCTCAAGGGACAGAACCAGGATTGAAGGGTAGCAAGGCCACCACTAGCTCATGTGACACTTGGTACAAATTTGATCATAGGGTGAATGGTGTGTGCTTTGTGCAGCATATGACTCAGAGCACCCGCCATAGTCCTGGGGGTGGGAAAAATGCAGCATGAGGTTGGCCAGGCCACTGCCCAGGTCAGGGTTGCAGAGCACCTGGACAGGCAACACTTCCTTCTCTTCCAACATCCTCTTCCTCTGCCCCTCCTCTTCAGACTGCAGTATGGAGGCCTGGGCCAGCTGGCAGATGGTGTGGTGGGGCTGGATGACTTTCGGAAGAGCCAGGAGCTGCGGGTATGGCCAGGCTATGACTATGTGGGCTGGAGCAACCACAGCTTCCCCAGCGGCTATGTGGAGATGGAGTTTGAGTTTGACCGGCTCAGGGCCTTCCAGGCCATGCAGGTAAGTGTAGCCAGCTCCAAGGCAGGACTCTGAGACCAGGGAGGGTGGTCCTGGGGTGCGCACTGGGCTCTCCTGGCCTTGACCCTGTGTCCCTCCTCCCCTTCCCCCCAGGTCCACTGTAACAACATGCACACCCTGGGAGCCCGCCTGCCTGGTGGGGTGGAGTGTCGCTTCAAACGGGGCCCGGCCATGGCCTGGGAGGGGGAGCCAGTGCGCCATGCCCTGGGGGGCAGCCTGGGGGACCCCAGAGCCCGGGCTGTGTCAGTGCCCCTGGGCAGCCGTGTGGCCCGCTTCCTGCAGTGCCGCTTCCTCTTTACTGGACCTTGGTTGCTCTTCAGTGAGATCGCCTTCATCTCTGGTAAGCCCCTGATGTGGGCTCAGTGCCCAACCTCTGGGACCCTTCAGTGCTCCAAGCTACCCACCCCTAACTCCATATCTACCCATTACCCATGAGACTTCCAAAGCGGGGAGACGGCGAGGGGGACAAATAATTTGAACCCCTTCCTCCCCCTTCTCCCTCACCTGCTTCTGTCTTTTCTTTATGAGCCCCTCATTCAGGACTGATGTTGAACGAGTATGACAGTGCTGGTTATTAAAATATTGAAATACTGTGCGCCGGTTGGGAAATAGCCTCTTCTCTAAGCCTCCTGATACCAGGATCCCCGCCCTACTCCCCCCAACACCCTACTCCGCCCATCCCTGCCCCCCCCCAAGCCCTGCATCTCCCACAGTCCAGCAACTGAAAGGTTAACATCCATCATAGCCAGGCACCTCCAGACCCTGGGACCCTGTTTTCACCCCCTTCTGATTGGCTGGGACATGTGTTGAGCGTCAGCCCTGCTCCCACTCCTCACTGGATGACTGCGTTCCCTGGGTCTCCTGCAGTATGCCTCCCTGTGTCTCCCCTCCTGTCTGACTCCCCTTCTTCTCTTCCTTCTCCTCAGATGTGGTGAACGACTCCTCCTTGGCTATGGGGGGAACCTTCCCACCAGCCCCCTGGTGGCCACCTGGCCCACCTCCCACCAACTTCAGCAGCTTGGGTGAGCAGCCCTGGGGCCTCCTCCCTTCTCGGGGTGGGTCCTGTGCTGCCGCTGCTCCCTGGGCACCCTCCAGATTGCGGGGGATGCCTCCTGCTGTCCTGACCCCCTGCCTCCACCAGAGCTGGAGCCCCGGGGCCAGCAGCCTGTGGCCAAGGCCGAAGGGAGCCCGACCGCCATCCTCATCGGCTGCCTGGTGGCCATCATCCTGCTGTTGCTGCTCATCATTGCCCTCATGCTTTGGCGGCTGCACTGGCGCAGGCTCCTTGGCAAGGTGGGTGGGGCCAAGGTAGCGGGGCCATATGTCAGCAGGGTTGGGGTCCCTGGGAACCCAGAGCACAACCTAACCAGAGTAATTGGGGGAGGGCTTAGTAAAGAGACCACTTATAAAAGTGAGGGTGTGGGGCGCATGGAAATCAGGAGGAGTAGTGCGGTTCCCCAGGGCTAGACACCACAGAGCAGTCACCATCAGGCACCATGGGGCACCATCCAGGCAGGCTTGATGAGAGAAGGCAGCACTTACCAGAATTGGGGGAGCGAGTCTGTGGAGAGAGCGTCTGGAGGGGGCAGCAGACTTTGCTTCAGGAATGCAGCTAGCCTGAGTCCACCCCTCAGGGAGGGGCTGGGAGAATAATCACCCTGACTTCACTTGCCACCACCATTTTCCACCGTCACTTTCCACCAGCCCTCCAAGCTCCTGCTGGGGCTCCTCTCTGGCCAACCCAGACCCAGCCCGTAGATGCAGTCCACACTGTCAGCCTCTTGGGACAGAAGCCGGGTGGGAAAAGGTGGAGAATGGAGCTGGAGGAGTGAGAAGTCTGGCACCCTCGAAACCTATAGCTTTTGGGTGCGAATCCCTGGTGGTGATGAGCATTATTATGGACCAGTCAGATTTGGGTGGGCTCCCATCGTGGGACATCACGGAACTCACTTAAATGCTCTTGAGCCTGTTTATTTACCTGTGAAGTGAATAGTAGATACAACTCCAGGACTGTTGTGAGGACCGAAGGAGAGAACATGAGTATAGCATTTAACAAAGAGCTGGGATGTACGTGCTAAGCAGTAACACACTTCACATTTTCTCTTCCCCATGACAAGGCTGAGCGTCGGGTATTAGAAGAGGAGCTGACCGTTCATCTCTCTGTCCCTGGGGACACCATCCTCATCAACAACCGCCCAGGCCCTCGAGAACCGCCCCCTTACCAGGAGCCTCGGCCTCGTGGGAATCCACCCCACTCTGCTCCCAGTGTCCCCAACAGCTCTGGTAAGACCTGCCTTGTTCCAATTCTACTTCACCTCTCTACCTGTTTTCTTATTGTGTTCCTTTCCCACTCCATTCCCATTCCCTTCTTTTCCTGTCTTCCCCAGTTTCAACTCATTTTATATCTGTGCCCCTGGTCACCACTCACTATACCATTCCATGTCCCTACCATATAATCTCCCTCAAGAATTTCCCATGCATTACCCATAATCCTTAGGGTCTCATCCTGTCTCTGTGTCCCATCTTCTCTGTTGTGCCTTCTCATTGTGTCTTTCTGACCCATCTCCTTTCTCCTAGACTCACCATGTTCCTTCCTACCTTCCATCCGCCCATCTATCCATCCATCCATCCATCTACCCATCCATCCATCGTGCATCCATCTATATATATTCATATATCATTCATTCATTCATTCATTCATATCTATCATTTGTCCATTCATCCATCATGCATCCATCTATCTATATTCACACATCATTCATTCATTCATCATGTATCTATCATTTGTCCATCCATCCATCCATCCATCCATCCATCCATCCATCCATCCATCCATTTATCCTAATCACCTATTCATTAATCCATCCATCCATCCATCATCTGTCCATCCATCTATCCATTCATTTATCCTATCCATCATCTATTTATCCATCCATCCATCCACCCATGATCCATCCAACCATTCATCCATCACCCACCTATCCATCCATCTATCCATATATATATTCATATATCCATTCACCCAACCAGCCATTCATCATCCATCCATCATCTATTCATTCATCCAGCCATCCATCTACCCATCCATTCATTACCCATCTAGCTATACAGCACTCTTCAGATCCTTGTTTTATCCTATCTCTCTTAGTGCATTCGTTCCCGTCAGCCCTGGTCTTGCCCTATTTCAGGTCTGCCTGTCTGTCTAGCCTTGAGTCTCATCCCTTCCCCGTGTCTCCCCCCTCCTTCTCCCGACAGCGTTGCTGCTCTCCAATCCGGCCTACCGCCTCCTTCTGGCCACTTACGCCCGTCCCCCTCGAGGCCCGGGCCCCCCCACACCCGCCTGGGCCAAACCCACCAACACCCAGGGTAAGCCCCTCTGCCCCTGGGCTCTGCCAGGCTCCCCGTACCTCTACTGGGGCAGGGAAAAGTCCTCATACCTTGCACTCCCTGCTCTCCTCACTGTGGCCTCTTCTGCTCTCCTGAGTTCCCACAGAGGATGCTCTTGTGCCCTTAGCTCTCCTCTGCTGCTGCTTGCTCCTTTTTAAGGCCTCCCCCTTGAGCTGAGGAGTAGAAAGCTCGCTGGTTCTCAGCTCTGCCCCCTCCTCCTCTTCCACTCTATCTCTTCAGCTCTCCAGAGCCAGAGAGGAGGTTTTGGTGGTGGCCCAGGTTCTCCTGTAACTCCTCCTTTGTTCTCCCCTTTCTCTAGAGCTGCAAGGAGGGCCTCTCACCCTGGGTGCTTGCCTTCTCCCCCCATGAGTCCTCTCTCTGCAGTCCCAGAGGTGAAGGCTCACGCCCCTGCCCTCTCTGTCTGCCCTTCCTCCCCTTGGTGTTGCCTTTTCATTGTCATCCTTCTCCAGGGCTCAGAGGGGACAGCTCTGCCTCCTCTCCTCTGTCTGTAGACCCCTTGTTGTGCGGGCCATGAGGAACTGTTCCCCTCTGCCCTCTCTGTGTGCCCGTCTCTGCTTGTCTTTGAGCTTGGTGTGTTGGGTCAGGGAGGTTTTGGATAACCATGGCAGGGAGGGGCCAAGGCTGAAAGTGGGAGGTGGGTGGGAGAGGGGAGAACAGCTAAGTGAAAGGGAGAGGCTGGCAGTGAGTGGGACAAAGGTTGGAAAGTGGAGGGTGATTGGATGGCTGGCACCCTCCTCCTTCCGATGGTGGGAAGAGGAATTCCTCTTCTAGACAAGACTTAACTCATGGTCTCTTAGGCTGTGCTGGGATCCCTAGAGAACAAGACTTTATGATATTTTTTGCTCAACTATCTCCAGTGCCTTGAAAACTCTGGAATGGCTAACCCTCATCCCATGCCAGCGTCTCCTCTGGTTTGAGGGTGGTGGGTGGAATACCAGGAAGATGATGGAGGGTAGACCCAGTCTGTCACCCAGCTGGGAGACAGGGCACCCCTGGGAGGTGGGGTGTGGAGAACACGGCTTTTAGGGGCTGTTCCTGATGCCTCTTCTGTCTTCTTTGTCTCACCCCTCCAGCCTGCAGTGGGGATTATATGGAGCCTGAGAAGCCAGGCGCCCCTCTTCTGCCCCCACCTCCCCAGAACAGCGTCCCCCATTATGCTGAGGCTGACATAGTCACTCTGCAGGGTGTCACTGGGGGCAACACCTATGCTGTGCCTGCGCTGCCCCCAGGAGCGGCCGGGGATGGGCCCCCCAGAGTGGATTTTCCTCGGTCACAGCTCCGCTTCAAGGAGAAGCTTGGCGAGGGCCAGTTTGGGGAGGTAAGTAGGCTCCCTGCCAGCCCTCAGTAGTGTCTGACTCTATCTAGGGCTTGGACGCCATGCCCACATATCCCCTTGGCCAGGAACCTGTCATCTGTGACTATTATCCCAGTTGACTCTGTGACCTTGCTGAACCTTGTGACCATCTAGCAAATGACCTTCTTTCTCCAGGTGCACCTGTGTGAGGTAGAGAGCCCTCAAGATCTGGTCAGTCTTGGTTTTCCCCTTAACGTGCGCAAGGGACACCCCTTGCTGGTAGCTGTCAAGATCCTACGGCCAGATGCCACCAAGAATGCCAGGTGAGGACCAGGGATGGCGCCTGGAAGAAGGGAGGGAGGTCATGACAAGCAGGGAGCGCCCTAGAGAGAAACATGGTAGAGACAACAGAGGGGCGTCTGGGAAGGAGGTTCCCTACTCAGGTCCCCACATCAACACAGTGAGCATGTGTACTGGGTGGGGCGCTGGTCTGTGTGAGCAGGGGAAGGTGCAGGTCGGCCCCTTGATGTCCCCACTACCTTCTCCCTGCCTCTGTAGGAACGATTTCCTGAAGGAGGTGAAGATCATGTCGAGGCTAAAGGACCCAAACATCATCCGGCTCCTGGGCGTGTGTGTGCAGGACGACCCCCTCTGCATGATTACCGATTACATGGAAAATGGCGACCTTAACCAGTTCCTCAGCGCCCACCAGCTGGAGAACAAGGGGACCGAGGGGGTCCCTGGGGATGAGGAGGCTGCCCAGGGGCCCACTATTAGGTACCCACTTACTTAGGCCGGCCCTTCCCTGAGAGCTCCCAAGAGGATCTCCCCTCCCCTTGCTCCAGCCTGGTGGCAAAGAGGGGAGCAGGGGGTGAAGAGGCAAGAGGCAAGTGGGGGCCTGGGATGGGGAACATATTCATCCATGAACCTGAGGGGCAGAAAGGCTGGAGATGACTACAGTGAGGGTGCTGAAGGGACCTGGACCCTGTCAGGAAGTTCCCTGTGCCCCCTGTCACCCTCACTGCCCAGGTCCAGATCAGGGAGGGTAATAGAATTGCTAGCTTTCTGGGGTTGGATGAGCCAAAGAAAGGTTGCGTGGGCACCTACCCGCTGGCCTCCACTTGGGCCTCCCCTCTCTGCACGGGAAGTCGGTGTAGCCTGGTCACGGGGAGGGAGCTATCCTTCCTTTCCGGGAATCTGTGAGGTGGGGACGACCAGGGCTGCCCCCGACCCTCTGTCCTTGGCTCCCTTACTCAGCTACCCAATGCTGTTGCACGTGGCGGCCCAGATCGCCTCTGGCATGCGCTATCTGGCCACACTCAACTTTGTGCATCGGGACCTGGCCACAAGGAACTGCCTGGTTGGGGAAAATTTCACCATCAAAATTGCTGACTTCGGCATGAGCCGGAACCTCTACGCCGGGGACTATTACCGCGTGCAGGGCCGGGCAGTGCTGCCCATCCGGTGGATGGCCTGGGAGTGCATCCTTATGGTGAGAGGCCTGAGAGAGACAGGCAGGGTGGGGCATGGGCTGCCACTTGGAGCTCTGGTCTCGTTCAGTCACTTGCTTTTCCTGGAGTGCAGTTTCTGCAGCTAGAAAGTGAGGGTTTGGACCAGTGCTCTGTAAGATTCCCTCTGGCTCAGGGACTGGAGAAAGCAGGGAGGTATGGAGTGATGGGAAAGGGTCTAGGAGCCAAGAGTGGGTTCAAGAGGTGAAGCCAGGGTAGCAGAGAGCAAGAGAGACAGAGGGAGACATGAGGCTAGAGATAGGCGGGGATGAGTTGGGAGTTAGTCAGGACCAGATGATGGGGGCGCAGGAGGATAGAAAGGAAGGAAGGTAGAAGAGGAAAGAGGTGAGAGGGAGGGGACTAGAGCCTGAGGGAGGGAGGGACAGGCTATTGGGAAAGAGCCAGCGGGGGGGAGTGGAGCACCTGGGGTTGGGGGGAGTCAGGCTGGGGAAGTGTTGAGTGGACGTGACCCCCTGTGGGGCAGGGAAGAGGGTCTGTGTTGCCTGATGCCTTTCTCTGCCTGTTAACCTTATCCACGCACCAGGGGAAGTTCACAACTGCGAGTGACGTGTGGGCCTTTGGGGTGACCCTGTGGGAGGTGCTGATGCTCTGCCGGGCCCAGCCCTTTGGGCAGCTGACTGATGAACAAGTCATTGAAAACGCAGGGGAGTTCTTCCGGGACCAGGGCCGGCAGGTCAGAGCAGAGGGGAGGGAAGACGGGGCCAGGGGGCTGGGAGGGCCAGAGCCTGTCATCTTGGAACTAAAGAACCTTTCCCTGCCTTTCATCCACACTGCTGCCACTATGTAGGTATACCTATCCCGGCCCCCCGCCTGCCCACTGGGCCTGTATGAGCTGATGCTTCGGTGCTGGAGCCGGGAGCCTGAGCAGCGACCCCCCTTTCCCCAGCTGCATCGGTTCTTGGCAGAAGATGCACTCAACACAGTGTGAATCATGACACCCAGCTGCCCCTCCCTCAGGGAGGATTCAGGGGAAGCCAGCGGCACAAATGAGGAGCTAACGGCACCTCCATTCTCCCTCCTAACTTCCCTTCACTTCTGAGAGAGGGGCAGTGTGACCGAAGGTGGGCTGGGCCTGCCGGGAAGCTGATGACCTTACTTTCCCAGACACACTCTCATGCTCCCTTCCTGCCACCCACCCAGCTGGCCCTGTGGATGGGACCCTCTCGGACCTCGTCTAGCCATCCCTTGGGGGAGGGTGGGGGTACATACAGGGCAGACACTGGACATGGCCCCTTGGAGCACCTGGGCCCCGCTGGACAACACTGGTTCCTGGAGGGAAGGCTGTGTCCCCCAGCCTCTCTCTTTCCAGCACACACTGGACCCCACTGGCTGAGAATTTGGGGAGTGAGGACGACAAAAAAGGGAGAAAGACGTTCCCTTGTGCTTACTCCTGGAATTGTCCTCAGCTTTGACTTCTCTCCCCTCCATCCTCTGAAACACTGGACCTGGGCTTGATCCTGCCCCCAAACCCCCGTCATGCCCACCTCCCACCTGCCATGTTGTACCTAGAACTTCTCTAAGCCTGTATGTTTCTGTGGAATAAATATTGGGATTAGGGGGAAAGAGGGAGCAAAGGTCTATGGCCCTGGGGTAGGACATCTCTATCGTAGCTGCCACATTGGTTTTTCTATAATCACTTGGGTTTGTACATTTTTGGGGGGAGAGACAGATTTTTACACTAATATATGGATCTAGCTCAAGGCAATTTTAATCCCCTGCACTAGGCAGGTAATAATAAAGGTTGAGTTTTCCACAGCTGTGAGTAGGTTTCTTCGGGTTTTGGTAAAATCTCCTGCCTCTCCCTTCCCCCATCCCCTTTTCTCTCTTTCCTCCTCCCCATTTCCTACCATGCATTTTGCGCAGCATAGCGTTCTGTGTCTCCATAAGCCAGGCCCTTGCCTGTGGGACCTGAGGTCCCACATGAATGTATGAACCATGTCAATTCCAACACGAGCTCTGCAGGAGGCCAGGAGGGAGGTGGATTAGGCCTGGGGTTAACATTGTTTGACCCATTGACCCCTCTGGCAGCCTGGAGAGATCTACAGACCTACTGAATTATGTTTTAAAACCCATTAAAAAAAGTGTGTGTATATATAGATATATGATTATAGAGGAAGTCAATTGAAAGGGTTTACCAAAATGTTAAAAAATTATATATTAACGTGGTTCTTTTAAATATATTTAATAAGATCTAGCAGCAGGTGTAACAACGACTGACATTTCCAAACAGTATAACGATAGATTACATTCTGAGATTTCTACAACTGCAGTGGGATATGAAAATAGCTGTGATGTCTATTAATGACAAGTCACACACACTGCTAACACTACTGAGGGTTTTGCTCATATTCATACTTGAAGGGAATGCTAAATTTCAGTTAGAGATTGATAAAAATAAAGGTGTCTTTTTTTTCCTAGCCCACATTCTAGGACCTCACTCCCACCAAGGGTCTGGAAGTCCCTGGTGGAGAATTCCTGGAATTAGGGTGATCAAGTATGTAAATCACCCAGTGGGTGTGGGCTATCTCACTGGGAGCCAGAAGCAAGGGCTTAAAGGATCTCAGAGGCTTGGAAGGCTGAGCCACAACCACCAAGAGAACATTTAACAGAGTTCAAATTTGGTTGGAAAGAAAAAAGAAATTAGTTGCAAATATTAGAAAAGGCAGACCCATCTTGATGGTAATGGGTTGTCGGAAAAGTCATGACGCATTTTTGCAATGAAGACCAGAAACAATACGTCATGACTTTTTCAACAACCCAATAGTTCATGTGAAACAAAGGTCATGGTTGATACTCACAAAATGAGCCAACTAGATAATGAGGATAACAATAAAGATAATTTAATCTTAGGTTGAATTTTAGGCCCTTGGGTCCAGGACACAGATCTGATTCCTGCTGAAACCTAGGCTGGTCAGATCACTGACCCATGATTTAAGATGGGCACAACAGGTCAAGAGTTTAGAAGCCAGAATGCATAATGGTGAGCAATGGAAGCAATGCAGTGAGTGGAGAACTCCCAAATCTCTAGCTCAGAACTCTCTTTGAAGCTCTAGACCTGTGCAACCACCTAGAGCTTCACAGGAAGTGCAAATCATGGCAGTCACAGCATGTCCAAGCCACCTCCTCCCACATTGTCTCCTGGCCCAGTGAATAGCAGCACCATCCACTCAGAAATCTGGGGATCATCTTTGACACCCCGTTTCCCCTACTCTCCCCTCACAAATCCAGCCTATCACGAAGCTCTGTTGATTTTTCTTCCCCACTTTCCCTTCAATCCGTTATTTCTCTCTGTCTCTAACCGCACCCACTACCTCCATCTTGCCTGGTCTCCCAGCATCTGCTCCTGCTCCTCTCTGGTTTGCTCACTCTGTTCTGCCGCCAGAGTGACCTGGAAAACAGAAATCTGACCCTGGTCCATTATTTCAAACCCTTGAATGGCCTCCCATTGACATCAGAATAAGAACAAAATCTTCTTGGCCAACTTTGGCGCCCCCACCCTACCCTCAGTGTGGGTCATTCCCACTCTCTCTATGCACCACTGGCCTTTCAGTCCCTCCTGCCACAGGGACTTTGTAGCATGCTGTCCCCACCTGGAACACAATTCCCTGCTGTGTTTGCTTTAACTCCTGCTTGTCCTTCAGCAGCCTTCCCTAACTTGCCAACTAGGTCAGATCCCCTCTTGATGCTTTCAGAGCACATGACTTGCTTCTTTGTAGCACTTACTACAGGTGCCATTTTTTAAAAGAAAATGTTTATTGAGCATCTACTATGTGCCAGGTGCCATATTTATTACATATTATATCTTATTTACTACAACACAGGAAGTAGCTAAAATTATTGCCATTTCACAGAGAAGAAAACTGTTAAGACACTTGCCCAAGGCAGCATAGTGGTAAAGGGTGAAGCTGGTGGGAAGCGGCCCATGGGCTCCTGGATCTCTGTTCTCTCTCCAGGATGCTGCTGGAGGGGAGGAGGTCATGAACTCTACATCACAGGAAGTTTTCCCAGCACAGGCTGGATAGCCCTATTATGTCAAGGAGCTCTTTCTGCAGTTCAGCTCCCAGAAGCCCAGGCTGATTTTCTTCTTGAAGGCCAGTTCCAGGAACTCAGTCTGCTCGATTCCTACCATCAGACACCTGCCCTGATTCACTGCATCCCTCCAAGCTGGGATCTCCAAGAGAGCTCCGTGATCTCCAAGAGAGCTCCGCGATGGGGCAAAGGTCTATATCTGCACTATCCAATCCGTAGCTACTACTGAGTACTTGAAATGGGGCTAATGTGACTGAAGAACTGAATTTAAATTTTGTTTGAGTTAATTGAAATGTAAATAGCTACAGGTGGCTAGACTCCTATTCTGGACGGTGTAGCCCCAGAGTTTCCCCCACATTGTAGAGAACTGTGACCTGACCTACCCAGCTCCCCTTGCTTGCTCCCATGAAAATGAAGCATATGACCTATTTGAGTTTTACACACACATAAAAGCTTCTTACAAAGATGGCATTGGATTATGTATGCCACTTTGTAATCTGCTTTTCTTCCCCTCAGGACGGGTTGTAAGTAGCTGTCAGTGATCAGTATGCATAGTGACCTCCTCTCTAAGTGTTGTCTAGTATTCTACATGTTGTAATAATCCACATTTTATCTAACTAACTCCTAACAATGGACAAAAGCTGTTTCCATTGTTTTCATAATGCATCAACAAACACACTCCAGTAAACATCTTTTTTTTTTTTTTAAAGATTTTATTGGGGAGTTGGGGGAGGGGAACAGCGTTGTGGAATCGGGGAAGGGGAACAGTCAAGTTGCTGTCCTTTTGTTCTTTAGTTTAGTTGTGGAGGATTTCGCTTCACTGGCCCATGTTGGTATTATCATTGAGCTCTTCCCGGTGAGGCAGATCGGTCGCCGGGCCCTGGACGGCCGCTAATGGCGGCTCTTGGCAGCTCACACCGGCTGCCAGCCACTCACAGTAGCTTTATGGCAGTCCACTGCAGCTCCACTGCAGCCTATGCCATTGCCGGTGACTCAGGGCAGCGCAGCTCCAGGTGGAGCTGTTGTTCCCCATTTTAGCTGTAGAGGGCGCAGCGTCATTGGCTCTAATGTGGGATCCAAACCGGGGCCCTGTTGCTCAGAGGTGGCGTCCGAAGCCAACTCCTAACCAACGCGCCACTCAGCCCACCCCCAGTAAACATCTTTGCATGTGTATGTTTGTACCCAGGTGGGAGAATTTTAGCACGATAAATTCCTAAAATGGGAGTTGCTAGGTCAAAGGGTAGTCACATTAAAACCCTTGGTGTATACAGCCAAATTGCCCTTAAAAAAAAGCATGCTTCTGTTAACCTTCAACAGAAGTATATGAGTATGTTTATATGCTCATATATATATATATATACATCGAGGTAGTCAATCCTTAATTATTTTTTAAATGGATATGTTATTGTTTCTTTAATTTACTTTTCCTTAATTACTAGTGAAGTCAAAAGTTGTTTGTTTTTTTAAAGATTTTATTGGGAAACTGGGGGAGGGGAACAGCCAAGTTGTCCTTCAATTTTAGTTGTGCAGGGTGCAGCTAGCTCAGCTGCAAGTCCAGTCGCCATCCGGCCACCCGTGGGCAGCTCAGGGCAGCTCAGCTCAAGGTGCAGTATTCAATCTTAGTTGCGGGTTGACAAATCCCAACATTCCATGTGGGAGTCCACCAGCAACCTTCTTGTTGGGAGCACGTGCTCTCACCAGCTGAGCCATCCTGCCACCTGTTGGCAGATCAGCTCTAGCACAGCTCACTGGCCCATGTGGGAATCAAACCGGTGACCCTATTGCTCAGAGCCCGAGCTCTTAACCAACTGAGCCACTCTGCCTGGCCAGCCCCAAGAGTTTGCTTTTTTTTTCATTTGAAGTCATTTGTATTTCTTCTGTTTATCGCCTGTTATCTATTTTGTCAATCTTTCCATTGTGATGTTACTTTTTCTTATTGCTTTGTAAGAGTTCTTTGTATTTTGCCTATTTTATCAAATACTTCTTTCCAGAATGTAATTTTAACTGTACTTAACACTTGTCACAAAGAAGCTTTGTCAGTTTTGTGGCATTCTTTGAGGATTTTAAACATTGATTGCTAAAGAAAGGGAACAATGAAACAAACATGGGTAGGCTACAAAGCACAACAAAGTCTTACACAGTTCTTACCATTTTAGTCCCTGGTCCCTGGCAGATGTACTTAATATCCCTGCTTCAGCACTTTCTAGTTGTCCAATCGCGGGCAAATTTTATCTCACTGGACTTTGGTCTTCTAGTCTGTAAAATGGGAATAATAAAACTTGCCTTTTGGGAACTTAGGGAAGCCTGTAGCTCCTGCCTTGGCTGAAGACATTCCCTTCCCTTTCACTGCAGTAGGTTCATAAATCAAATCAGAGCAAACAATTTTTTAAATTGTATTTATTAGGATCTTCTAACTAAACGGGAGGCGGAAGCATGGTGAATGTGGCAATTAAGATTTATTACTTAATGTGCCAAATAAGGCACATTGGCTCTAGTTAACTCCTAAGTCGCGAAAACGCTCTGTAGAACGCATTATGCCAATTTTACCTGGAGCAACTGAGCTCAAGGAACCCAGTTTCATGCATCTCTAAAAGTAAGCGCCTCACCACCCAGCAGTCTCCACACCTCCGCCAAGGAGTCCTCGGGGTAGTTCTATTCCAAGGGTCCCGCCTCCCGGACGGGTTGGTTAGACAAGCCGTTGGCGGCGTGGGTGGAGAGAGACCCGG